GACAAAGATTTGTCCTGACTGTGGGCAAGGCCGGAAAACTCTAGCAACAGGCTCCCACTGGCCAAATCAGGGGCAACTTGATTAAACTGAACAGTGACAGGGCTGAATTAGGGCACTACTGGAAGAAAAAGAAAAGTCAATATCGATAATAATTGATATAAAGATAAGGAAAAGCTAGGAATTTTCAGTAAAGTGTAAGTAATTACAACATATAGAAGCATGTGGATATATATTCCAGCTCAGCAAAAAAAAATTTTTTTATGTCTAGTATGAGGCAAGAACCCAAACTGGTTTCTTTCCCAAAAGAGAAATCAAAATTTCCACAGAAATGAAAGTCCATGCTAATGTAGATAGGGGAGTATAAACTTCTGGGGAACATAGACTGTATTATGGTCACAGCTTTATTCTTGGTGGAGTATCTACCCAGCATATGAATTGCTGGTCCAGTTAATGACTCAGAAAATGTTAGTTTGATGAGCTGGAGAGATGGCTTGATGTTATATCTTGCTATCCTGCCAGCTGGATTATCTATGGTGTTCTCTTGGTCTATTTTATAATTTATTGTAGGTTTGTGAGATATAAGCGTCTGGTGGACTCATTTAAAAAAGTTAAAAAAAATTTTTTTTATTAAAGGAAAATGTGTGAGCATGTTCACGGGCCAAGGAAGAAGTTATTGGAAAAGATTTGGTTGATGAGACACTACAAGGCTGGACAGATTAAGCTGAGAAAGAAAAAGACATGATCTATGAAGCGGGGAGGCAGGCCCAGACAGGTGTGGTTGCAGGTAGATGTGTGGTGGAGTTGATTAGGTTAAGGGATGCACCCATGGTAGCTCATGGTATAGATGAAACTCTCAGGGGAAAACGACAGCCAGGGAGTGGCTAGGCAAAGCTGTAACGAATGTCAAACGCGGCGAGAGGGCGCTGAGGACACGAATCTGGGGCCCAGTGAAGGATAGGGACCCGGAGCTGCAGCAGCCCCTAGCTTCAGGTTTTGGTAGTACTTTCCAGCGCTGAAAAGAACAGCTGGGAAAAGCTGGGTGGGATGTGCCACAATTCTTGAGGAACAGGATCCACAGAATCCAAGTCAAAGGACACCACCCTCCAGAGTCCTTTCAAAGCTCCCCTGCTAATCCCTCACTGAAAACATGAGCAGGTTTTAGCTTGTTTTCTACTTTTAATTGCACAGCCCTTTGGGGGCAGGACAAAAATAACGGGTCATGCTCATACCAAGCTGAGCAAGTCGGGGCTTGATAACTTTATCTGCCACACAAACCCGAATTAACAAAAAACTATAGCGTCAACATGACTTGGGTCAGGCTTTGTGCCGACTGCTTTACATGCACTGTTTTTAACCTAACCTTCAAAAGAACAACAACAACACACAAACAAACAAAAACCATGGAGTGAATGCTGCCTTTAATTTAACCGGCCTTTACCCACCAGAGGTCTGAGGCCTGGAGAAATAAGCAATTTGTCCGAAGTCACAGGGTTGCTTTTAGCGGAGTCCTGAAAAAGCATCCTGAAAGCCATGCATCCATCCCGCTCTTCGCTCTGGGCTGCTGCTCAGATGAGCGCTGGTCCAAGGGAACTCGGGGGAGCGGTCCCTCATTGCGAGTGCTCACAGTGTTGAACACTTACGGTAACGGCGGTCCGGCTGACGTCGGGTGCCCCGCGCGTCACCCTGTGACCCGCACGCGTGATGCTCACGTGCACCGCCGTCCTCGCGCTTCCTTCGGGAAGGCTGAAGCAGCCTTAAGTCCACCGGGGCTGGGGAGGGCGTCTAGGACGATACTCTCCGGGTTGGATTCCTTCTGCCTGAACATCTGATCGGAAGGTCCGGAGGGCGGGGAGGAGTGGGCGGAGCCGGACCTCCGAGCAGGTTTCTGATTGGCTGGGAGGGGGGAATCGGGCGGAGCCTGGCGGCGGTGGGCGGAAGCGAGAAGCCGCAGCTACCGCGTAAAGCCCTTGGCGTCTTGGAGCAACCGCCCGCCGCCCGGGAACGCGGGCGCTGCTCCTGGCGGCGGCTTCGGGCTGAGCGGGGTGAAGCGGAGGCCGGGGTGGCGGGAGGCCGGCGGGGGCCCGGGCGGGAGGCGAAGGTAAGGGAGGCAGCGTGGCGTGGGCCGGCGGGGCCCCCGCAGTGGGAGGAAGGCCGGCGTGGGTCGCCGAGCAGGGCGGGAGGGATGGCGAGGGCCCTAGCGAGGCTCCGCGGCCGAGGCTCGCCCAGGGAGCGCGGGAGACCTGACCGGGAACCGGCTGGCTCCTGAATGCCTGCTGGCCCTGGGTGGTGGGGCAGGGTGGGAGCTGGCCGGGCCACCTCCTGCAGAGGCTTCCTTGGCACACCGGGAGTTCTCTTGCTCCTCTGTTTCCCTAGTGCCCGAACTTGTTTCGGAGGTGGACCGTCATCTTCTTTTCCTTCTGAGCCGGTGAGCTCTCAGTCTCGGGGGGTGCAGCCCCAGGCTGGGAAAAGAAAGTTCTGACCCACAGAAACCATTCCAAACTTGGCGTGTGTCCATCAGCTTGAACGCTCGTTTCTGACCTTTGAGGTTCTTTCGCTTCAACTTTGTGTTTTTTTTGAGGAAGAGACTTGGTTTCCCAGCCCCAGCAGTCGATCCCCCTTTCCCAAGGAAGGATGGAAATGAAACTTTTGATGGATGCACTTAGGAATTTAGGGTCGTCTGTCCTATTCAGGTTCTTAAGACATCCAGGGAAGGTGCAGATTCTGTACAAAGCAGGTTATTGCTGTGTCTCTCGTGTGTTATGTGATGAATGATAAAGGTCGATTCATTCGGTGCATCTTGTGTTGGTACGATATTGACAGAAGAGGTCGGCGCCTAGCAAATCACCCCGTCTTGTTTCCCATTTATTTGAATCTTTCTGCCTCTCCTGTACTTCTACTTTTCCTCTCCTCAGGAAGAGGGAGGGAGGGAAGGAGGGAGGGGCTCAGTTTTTTTTTTTTCCTCTTAGGTTCAGACTTGTGACAAAGACAAAGTTCAGGCCTTTTTTGAAAAACAATTTCCTGGGTCTTTTTTTTTCTCCTCTCTCTCCCTCTTTCTTCCTTTTCTGGAAAAGTTACGGGGATCACGCAGTGGTTTTCCTTTAGTGTTTCTGTTGTGCACGGGTCAAAAATGAACAAAAACCTTTTCTGGATGGGAGCGACCATCATTCGTATTCAGCCGTCCTGCGTTAATGGATAACGTTTGACTAGGCTGACACTTGGATTTTCACCTGAAGCTTTCGTATGAGCTGATGCATCAAGTTATCTCCCACACTTCAATAGTGGATGCGTTTACTGATTTGCTTCGCCAAGATACTGTGTAGCAAGTCTGCATATTCCATGCTCTCCTTGCAGTAAAAAAAAAAGAGGCGAGTAGTGGGTGACACTGAAGAAGTCGTTGGATAAGTAGGTTAATATTTCTAATTATGTATGCTGAAAGAGCCATGCTCTACAGCATATAAAACAGTTATTATGCTGCTAAAAATCAGAGTTGTAATTTTTTTTGGATGCTGGTGGCATGTAATTATTAAGATTAATCCTACGTGATTGTATTTATGTTTTAGAGACGGCACTTGGCCCTGTGCTTTCAGGCTAATTTTTACCTTCATATTTCCAAGGCTTAATGAAAGTCGTGGCTACAGACAACTTTTAGAAGTAATTCTGAGACTCCTTCGGCAGGTTGTTTTTGTTGGTGCTTTAGAGGAATTGGAATAGGCTGTGTTTAGAAACACGAGGGTTTTTAGTGCCATCACATCCTTCTCTCTGGTGGTCTTTAAGACAAAACCAAACCAAACCTTGAGTTTTTATTTGATCAGTCACCATCTTAACCCTTTATGGTGGAGCATCAATTATTATGATAGTTGTATTGGCTGCTCTTATGTCAGCTTGACACTAGCTAGAGTCTTCTGAAAGGAGAGAACCTCAGTTGAGAAAATGTTTCCATAAGATGGACTTTTGGGCATTTTTTAGTGATTGATGGGGAAGGGCCAGCCCATTGTGGGTGGGTGGTGCCATTCCTGGGCTGGTGGTCCTTATTTCTATAAGAAAGCAGCCTGAGCAAGCCTTGGTGCGCTCACAAGTAAACAGTTCTTCCTCATGGCCTCTGCATCAGTTCCTGCCTCCAGGTCTCTGCCCTGCTGACCACCTTTGATGGTGAACAATGGTGTGGAACTTTTCTGCCCCAAGTTACTTTGGTCATGGTGTCATCATAGCAATACTAACCCTAACTAAGACAGTACCTCGTGTCATCTCCCCAGTGGAACATGATATTGGAGGTCCTCCTTCCCTGGCCTCCCTCTTTTCCCTTCCTCTTCTTTTCCCTACTCCATTGAGATTCTCTACTCCTTTCTCCCCCATCCCTTCCAATAAGTGCTTATTGCCACAATCTCAGCCAAACTAGTGGTTTCATTTCTGCTTTAATTTACTAATCAGTAATATTAATAATCTGGGGGAAATCTTGAATGTTAAGAGGACACAGATAGAATTGGAAGTGTGAAGAGCTACAAAAATAATTTTGATCAATAGCAGACTGTTGAGAATTTTGTGGCAGGACTTGGCGTATAGTCACAGGTCTATTACTAACCGTCTGATCCACCCAAAGAAAAATGCTTTAGGTTTGGTGTACCTTAGTTGCTGCAGCTGTTAAACACAGTAATAAGGCTAACTTATGTGACTTCCAGAGTATTGAGAAAATAAAATGAACTGATAGATAGGATTTTGAAGGAGAAAACCTTTTTAGAAGTGTGTGATGTCCGTCTTTGTATGGTATAGATTACAAACTGTAGCATCCCAATGGCTAACACACCAGAGGATACTTGTCTTTAAATTTTCAGTCTAAAAGGGGGGGGGGGCTCAGTGCTTTTCTGTGACTTTCATTTGGTGATTAATCTTAACTGCTTTGGCCAATTATGGTTTTTTGGTTATTTAGAGACAAAAAATACCTTTAAGAAGGTCATTACCTTACTATCTTTGGAGTTTAGGCCTAAAGTGGGGGAGATGTGGGAATCCCAAGTTCATGTGCCTAAGAGGGCAGAACGGACAGCTTTTTGATCGAATACTTGTCACAGGCACTGCCAGAACTAATTGCTCAGATTTCGTAGAGATGTCATAAAATAAGGCTGAGTAGTTTATGTTATATAAAGTCAGTTTCCCCTATAACTTTAAAAGGCTATTATTAAGTATTGTTTTTTCCCCAACAAACCTTATATACACACATACTCACGTATGATATAAATGATGGGAAAATTTTTTGTCTGCTTACATTTATGCCTTACCTGCAAAGTTTTAATTAACTTTAATTGTAAAAATAATTAGAATGGTAATCTTTGAAATTAGGTTGGCCGTATAGCCATAGTTTTAAGTGTGGAGTCCGTTTTCATCTAGACTGCAGTGTTTTTAAGCCTGAGTTTGGATATGTGGAAATAGATTTTATTACTCTTTGGTGTTTGTTGACATGAATTTTAACACCGTTGGGCTGTGTGGATATTCGTTCTTCGGACGGCGTCTAAGGCCCTTCTCTCATGTTTTTCCCTCCTTCGTTCTAGACTCATGAAATGGCCACAGATGACAAGAGGTCCCCGACACTGGACTCTGCTACTGATTTGCCTCGCTCCCCCACTAGTCCTTCTCACCTCACTCACTTTAAACCTTTGACTCCTGACCAGGATGAGCCCCCCTTCAAGTCAGCATATAGTTCTTTTGTAAATCTTTTCCGTTTCAACAAAGGTAAGGTTTAGTTCTGCCCATCAGAAAATGCGGTTGTGATTCTCTGCACTCAGTGTTGTGCTGTGTCGTTAGAAGGAAGTGAAATATTAACAAGGTGGCAGCTTGAACCACAGGTCACTAAGGCTGCAGAAGGAAAAGGTGGCATTTCATTGTCATCTGATTAATTATTTGTGTGAATTGAATTTAAAATGGTGAAGGCTTCTTTTTGGTTTTTTGAGACAGGGTTTCTCTATGTAGCTTTGGAACCTGTCCTAGAACTCTCTCTGTAGATCAGGCTGGCCTCAAACTCACAGAGATCCACCTGCCTCTGCCTCCCAAGTGCTGGGACTAAAGGTATGCGCCACCACCACCTGGCTGAAGGAGGTCCTTTTTAAAGGGAAAACAGTTTTTCCACATTTTTTTTTCTGTTAATATGCTTCAGCTTTATAACTTTACAGAATGAAACTTATTTTGAGGAAGGTGTTAATAACAAAAAGATTTTAATTAAGGCAATACAATTAAGAAGCAGTGCATGGTTTATATGTTTAACAAATTAGAAGCTGTCAGTAGGCCTGTTGAGATTTAACACTCATTGGATTAAGTTGTAAATGATAGCAAATGAACAATTAATTTAAAAATGAGTTCTTGAATAGTATATTATTTATTTTATACCAGGAAGAATAAAAAAAAATAGCCATATATTGCCCTTAATTTGCCCCCATTTTTTTTTTTTTTTCCTGTTGCAACAAGGGTCCAGTTTTTAGCTCATGCTAGCTGAAACTCACTATGTAGCTCTGGCTAGCCTTGGTCCTGAGAGCTAGGATTACAGGCCTGAGTTATCATGCCTGATTCATTTGTCTTTGTTTAAGAGTGTTAAACAGCAGTTCTTAATCTGTGGGTTGCAACCCCTTTTTGGGTTCTAATATCAGATATCCTACATATCAGATATTTATGTTATGATTCATGATATTAGCACAATTACAGTAATGAAGTAGCAACAAAATAATTTTATGATAGGTGGTCACCACAACATGAGGAACTATATTAAGCAGTGAAGGTTGAAGACCACTGTGTTTGAAGACAATCTCCATTTTAAGGAATTTGGTGGGGTTTGATAGTTTCACTCAGTAGATTTTTTTTTTTTTTTTTTTTTTGAGATAGGTCTCTAGACCAGGCTGGCCTCAAACTCACAGAGATCTGCCTGCCTCTACTTCCCGAGTGCTAAGAGTAAAGGTATGTGCCACCACACCTGGTCTTCAGTAGAAATTTTAGTAGTACGACCTGAATTTTATTAACAGTTTTATTTAATGGGCTGTAAAATCTTTTAACACATTTTTAAAGATAGTGATGTTTCTATTTTAAAAAGTAAACTTTACTTTTTAGGAATAGGTTTAGATTTATGGAAAAATTGAGAAGATATTTGTATTTCTATATGCCCCTTACTGTTTCTTCTAGTATTGATACTTAACATTAGCATGGTAATTTGTTATAATTAATGAAGCGCTGTTGGTATATTTTGTTAGCTACTGCATGTATTCAGATTTCTTTAGATTCTGTGTAATAGATTCCATCCAAGATAACATTTTACATTTAGTTGTTGTAAGACAATAAATAGTCTTTATTTATTTAGGAAGGTTTAAGAAACAGCTACTAAGCTGGGCACTGTTTGAGCAATACAGAATGATCTCTCCCATAAACTTATCAAAAAGTCCAAGGTTCTGTGTGAGGCTTGTATTCTGTTTCTTTTAGTATGTTCACAAAATATCAAATGTAAAGCAGACCATATAGTTCATGTGTATGAAAGGTATGATTGGAATGTAATTGCATTCTGGTTTTTGACCTTTATTTAACAATTAAAAAGATTTATTTTTATTTTTATGTATATACTTGAGTTTTTTGTATACGTCTGAGCGCCTGAGGAGGTGAGAAGGGAGCTGTGGTTATGAGCTGCCTGACGGGAGTTGAGAACTGAACAAAGGCTTCAAGAGCAGTATGCCCTCAGCTATCTGTCACCTTCTCCTTGTTGAACTCTGAGTCTTAGCTTTTCAAGTAATACCAAATTTCCTTTGTCACAGAGAGAGGAGAAGGGGGCCAAGGAGAGCAGCAGTCTCCGAGTGCAAGTTGGTCCAGCCCTCAGATCCCTTCGAGGACACAGTCTGTGAGGTCGCCCGTCCCTTATAAAAAGCAGCTCAATGAGGAGCTTCAGCGGCGCTCTTCAGTGTTAGGTAAAGCAGCTAGCTGTCTTATCCTCTGTGTGTGTATTTTCATCATGTGTTTCTAGGTCAGATACTGACAGTTTTCCTGTTACTTGGAGTAGTCAAGTATTCTTTAGAATAACTAAAACTTACTTAGGTAATAAAAGAAGTTTGCAACCCAAAACATTCTTCATCATGTCATTAAACTTTGATTATGCAAGCACTGATGTCCTGACTGAATTTTGATTAATTGCTTGCTTGGGTTTCAGCGGAGAACACTTTGCCACATCCCCAGGAGAGCACAGGTTAGTTCCAGCTTTACAGGTGGATTCTGCACCTATTCTTGGGATGTAACGTGCATGCCACTGGCCGCAGAACACTGTCAAACCCCACTGGTGGGCTGCCGATTGCTCTTGGCCTGTCTTTGTTGGGGTGCACACTGTCAGTGTGGATACACTGCTTCTCTTGCCTGCCTGTTTTCCATCTTGTTCCACCATGTAGTCACCTCATTCATTTTCATGCTCTCTGATGGGTGTGGGCTGGGAATCTGTCTCTGTTGGGGCTAGCGGTGGTTTATGCTTTATTTCTGTTAGATTGTTAAGCTCAGTGAAGTAGTTGGCTTAACTGGAGGCGATGGAAGAAGGACAGTGGCAGTGATTCCATGGAGAGGAGAGGCTGTAGTATTGGGAATCAAGTGTCCCTAAGCCCCTGTCTGTCCTGTCGGGCACTGACTTCCATGAGGTGCTTGGGCAAGCAATAGTTGTGTAGTAGTGGTTGGCTGAAGGATGTTTTATTTCCTGTTGAGACCGGAAGGTGGGGGAAGCAGAAGTAGAAGAGGAGCTTTTGCTGAAGGGCTGGAACACAGCTGGCTGTGTCACGTCCACAGGTTTCCTAGGGCAGCCACCGCTGCCCAGCTTACATCATTTTGAAAGGAAAAGTTGGGAGATGGAGGCAGAGGATTTTCTTTTCATTCCAGATCACCCAAGTTTACCCTTAACCTTATTAAAATCCCCTTAAATCTGACCCATGGCTTAGGAGGATGAGGCAGGAGGATTGGAAATTCAAAGCCAGCCAGCCAGCCAGCGCAGGCTCCATGGTGAGACCCTATCTTAGGGGAAGAAGCAGAAACAAGTTACAGCAACAAAACCCGCTGACCCATGGCAACACTGTGCTCTTTTTGAGGACACTTTTCTGATCAGATTCTATGCTGAATTGAAACATTATTGTCTGAAAGCTTTCATTTATTTCCTTCTTGTTGAACTCAGCATTTAGTTTTCACATAATACCAAGCTAAAATGGGCCAAGGAACAGTCTCTGAATTTCTTCACTTGTGAAATTGAGGAGTTGGACTAGAATTCTTGTAGTCTTGCAGGGGTTGTAGAGTTGTAGCTTACCACAATTTGCTTCTGTTATGATAAATTTGAACTGTTTGTCCATAGGCAGAGCTTGGATGGCCTCCTTCACTGTGGTTTTCACATTCCTTAGTGTCCATCAAGTCCACTTGCTTCTTGCAGTTTACCTTGGAGGCCCTTGAACTTCAGAAGCTTGGGACTGCTTAGTCCAATATGCTTTTCCCTCACTCCATGTCTAATTCTACAGTTTGGTAGTTCTCCTGTCTTAGGGAAGTTACTTGATTTGCTAGAATCCATTTTACAGATGCAGCAGCTATTGGTGTTTGTCTAAGGGCAAGGATCTTTTCTTTCTCCGAGGTCAAGCAGGGTCTCTCTGCTTACTCTTTCCCAGATGAGGATATTGATAGTCTTTTCTCTTCCAAGCAGCTAAATGCAAAGGACTTCACACCTCACTGGCTGTGCCAGGGAGCACCACCCTTATGATTCTTACAGCTTTGTGTCTCCTTTTAGAATTTATAACCATGGAGAGGTTTTTAATTGTTGTTTGAGACTCAAAACACATTTAGTTGTTGTAATACATGTTTGTAAACAGTACATCTGAGATCTGTGCTGCAATTAAGGTAGATACAGTTTAGATGAGGTGTTATTTTAGTGATTAAACTGCCTTAAATTCTTGATGCATTTGGATTTATATAGCAACCTCTTGTTCTTTGCAATCCCTATCTCCCTCTCCTACTCCCCCCAAAAAATCTAGTAGAAAACTAGCAAATGATAAGATAGATTCAGGATGGGATATTGTCCATTTTATAGTAATTTACCTTCCCTGTAGGGCATACCTTTTAGATCCCCAAGTAGATGCTTAGGGCCATAGGCACTTTCAAAGCCATAATATATGACTTTTTTTCACTATGCATTGAAACTATAAATTAGACCGAGAGATTAATAATAGTAATGTAAACTAGCACAATTGTAACAATATAGTAAAGTCATTTGAATGTGATCTGTTTCTGCTGAGCTAAGACATGTTAATATTTTCAGACTGTATGATTGAGGGTAACTGAAACCTTGGGAAATAAAACTGAGATAGGGAGGAATTATGTGAGTTGGGGGAAACTCCACAGGTTGTTAGGTTAATGTGCTTAAGCTAATAAGGAAGTTCATCTTTTTTTGTCAAGCCACTTTCATTTTCCCAAGAGTTTGAAACTCTTGTAGAATAGATAGAAACTTCATTTGTGATTTTTTTGTCTAAAAGAAGAAAATAATAGGTGCAGCTATGGTAATTATACTCCATTCTGGTCACAAAGCTAGAATTTGGGCTTCTTGTATTATCAGTAGATTTGGTTTCATATTGTTATTTCACATGTAAGTGATCCCTTGGAGTGTGGAATTTCAAGGTTGAGAAGGTGGTGGGTGCAGATGTTGGTGTGAGTTGGGGGAGAGTTGGGTTGAAACTTTGGCAGTTTTAATTTGCTTGGACATTGGTCATATTTTGTTGTCCTGGTTGTCCTGTAAAGCCTGCTGGGATCTTTGGAGGACTGGTCTATAAAACTTTGTGATGATCTGCTATGGAACAGATCAGTTTGGTCCTATTGCTTACCTATTTGACTTTTAGACCAAGTTAAATTAACTCTCTGGGATTACTTTTCCTTCTGCTCAATGTCTGCCAGGTGTTGTTACATATTTGGTTGGGAAAAAAGTGTGCAAGAAATCATTAATGAATTCTGGGCATGTAAGTGATGCTTCCATTTCAACCTTCAAAACCATTAATCATTTCAGATAGTTCTTAGTACTTAACTACATGTAAAATAGTGGTTTGTGTATAATAAGACATACTTGAAACAACTTATTACTCTCGATAAAGATCAGTTTTAATTCTCAATCAGTGTTATTGGCTGGGACAACACATGCTTGCTAACAATAGGGGATGATTTGTATTATATCACACACAAGCATACACAGATACAATGTTTGCTATGGTTACTAGAAACTTAAAAAAATTATTATTTTTTTAAAAAATATGAATCAGACTCAAGAAGGAAAGCAGAACCAGCCTTTGGAGGTCATGACCCACGTACAGCTGTTCAGCTTCGAAGCCTCAGCACAGTATTGAAGCGCCTCAAAGAAATCATGGAAGGGAAAAGCCAGGTACTGTAGCGGCCTTGGGAGAATTTTATTAAGCACTCATGGAGATCATACCATACTCACTGACAATGGCATCATGTCACTTAAATGAGGGTCATTACTTCTGATTCTGAACACCAGAGTTCTACACATGAATTCTTAATTTTTTTAGTGTCGTCTGTTTCTTCTTTTTTGTCCTTTTTATATTTTCAGTGTTTGCTTTTTAGACCAAGGTTAGTACATATGCTCACCTGTGGTTTTGTCAGCAAGCTTTATTATTTTTGTTCAGAAATAGGGTTCAAGTTTCCTTTTGTCCCCATAGATGTCTGGTTGGACCTAGTACATTGTTTTCAGAAAGCCCTTCCTTCCTTCCTTCAGTGGTTACATTATAACTCACATAATTCATACACTGTGCAAGCATGCCACTCTTTCCTGTACTATGGTTCCATTTTTTTTTTTCATGTCTTGTACTAATACTCTGTCTAGAGTTATTGATATAACTTTAGAATAAGTTCTGATAGCAAGTGATATAAGTACGTCAATTTTTTTCTTCGAGATTGTCTTGGTCATTTTAACCCTTTTGCATTCCATCTGAATTTTAGAACTAGCTTGTCATCTGCAAAAGACACCCTTCTAAGATTTCATTTGTCATTACAACTCCATACTCATTATTTTCAAGAAGCTGTCACACGTTCTTGTTGTAGGACAGTGACCTGAAGCAGTACTGGATGCCAGATAGCCAGTGTAAAGAGTGCTACGATTGCAGTGAGAAGTTTACCACCTTTAGGCGCAGACACCACTGCAGATTGTGTGGGCAGATTTTCTGCAGTCGTTGTTGTAACCAGGAAATCCCGGGCAAGTTTATGGGCTATACAGGTAAGTGCATTTCCTCAGCAGTATCCTAGTTAAAAGTCAAATTATGAAAAGGCCAATGTTAAGCCATTTTTAGTTTTTGGGTTTTATATCTATGGTAGCAGGGTATAGTAGTGAGAAAGAGAGTCAGGGCTTTGATTTTAAGAACTTTATGTTTGAATAGTGGAAGAGGTGAGAGTATTCATAAATAACTAGTAAAAACATAGATACGTAAAAATCTATAGCAGCATTAGAGATTTTTAGATAAGATAAATCGATTTTAAATTTATATTTTTATAGAGTTTTTATTCACAAAGTAAAGGTTGCCCTTGACTTACATCATAGTGTACTTTGGCAGATTGTATTTTAGTCATGTTATTTAATTGGGAATGTAGTGAAATTGTAGTAATGGAGAAAGATCAAGGACATTGAACCCCGATGAGTGGATTTATGTAGTGATTGGGGAGTGGAAGGTAGGACTGTTTGTTTTGTTTTACTAGTCTTAACCTTACAGTCTTCCTTTGCTAGCTGATCAAGTGCTGGGTATACAGAGAAGCATCGCCACCCTGGCAGTTTAAAATTTTGTTTACTGATTTGTTTGTTTGTTTGTTTATGGTGCTGGGTATCAAACCCAGAGTCTTTTGCATGTTAAATAATCACTGTGCTACTGAGTTGTATCCCCAACTCAAAAGAACACTCTTAACATGTTTCTCAGGTTATACTAGTTCCTGTAAAGATCTTCCTTATTTTTCTTATTTTTTTAAAATTTTATATGGATTGGTATTTTGCCTTTATGTATGTCTATGTGAGGATGTTGGATCTCCTGGAACTGGAGTCATGGACAGTTGAGAGCTGCCATGTGGGTGCTAGGAAACAAACCCTGGTCCTCTGGAGGAGCAGTCAGTACTCTTTAACCACTGTCCAGCCCAATCTTCCTTATTTTTTATGTCTGTCTTCATAAGCACTTCTCTTCTCTTAACTCTGTTCTTACTGCCAATTTGTACAGTTCATGAGCTGGGAATTTGAATCCTTAGGCTCACCCCTTTTCCTACTTTGTGTTGTACATTTAGGAGCAATGAATCTTATACTTGTTATTTTAACAGGAGGTTTGTCGAGTATTAACCTGGGCACTGTCAGTATTCAATTAAGAAGATCTAGAGTTACTGTCTTGCAAGTCTTTATTGCTCTAACACTTCCCTCAGTGTTCATTTTAGTATTGGAAATACTCACTAATGTTTTTATTTTTCTTTAATTGTTAAACATTTATTTATTTGCTTATTTATTTATTTATTTATTTATTTATTTATTTATTTATTTATTTATTTGCATGAGTGTTTTGCCTGCAAGTATGATATATGTGCATTATGGGTATGTCTAGTGTTCACAGAAGTCAGAAGTGGGCATTGGATCTCCTGGAACTGGAGTCATAAATGGTGCTGGGAATTGAACCTGGGTCCTCCTCAAGAGCAACAAAAGCTCTTAACCACCAAGTCATCTCTCCAGCCCTATTAATGCTTTTAAATTGAATCTAATTAGAGAACCAATTTCAGAAACTTTAGAGCCAATTCAGAAAACTTATCCCTAAGATCCTGTGTCTATTCTTGCGCTGAATCAGTATAGTTAGGTTTCTCTGGAGAAGTGGAACCAATGGGTGTGGCGACTCAAGGAATTGGCTCAAGTCCTTGTGCAGCTGGTAAGCCTGAAGTTAACTGGGTTAGTCAGCAGGGAGGAAACTAGGATTTCCATCTTTCAGTGCTGAGACAGAATTCCTTTTGCTGTTGGAAACTTCAGTCTTTGTACTTGAAGCCTCAGTTGATTAGGATGAGATTCATACTATACATGGTTGTCTGCTATCAGATTAAAGTCAACTGTAAGTGTCAATAACACCGGAAAAACAACAAAACCACATGAGCTACTAGTGTTTGAACAAAAGTTTTTTTATTCAAATTGAACCTTAAGATTAGTCCTTATAAGTAAAAAATATATGTTGTACACAATTATAGGCTAAGACTCTGAATAAATGTAAAATACCTAGAATATTGATAGAAAAATCAATGAATTGGCCTGGTGGTGGTACATGCCTTTAAGCCCAGCACTCAAGAGGCAGAGATAGGTGGATCTCTCTGAGTTCAAAGCCAACCTGGGGGGGCTGGAGAGATGGCTCAGAGGTTAAGAGCACTGGTTGCTCTTCCAGAGGTCCTGAGTTCAATTCTTAGGAACTACATGGTAGCTCATAACCATCTATAATGAGATCTGATGCCCTCTTCTGGTGGATAGGGATACATGCAGACAGAATACTATATACATAATAAATAAATAAATAAATAAATCAAAGCCAACCTGTCTATACAGTGAGACATTGTCTCAAAAAAATAGAAGGAAAATATTGCACAAATCCTAAATGGTCTTATAATAAAAACATAGAGCTAGATATGAGGATGAAAGCTGAAATATTAGAGGAAACAAGTCTCTAGAGAAACTTCTTACCACTACCGAATCCTTAGGCCAAAAGGGAGGTGAGATTCTATCTCCACAAATCCTCAAATTGAATGCTTCTCAAATACTGGGATTAAAGGTGTGTGCCACCACTGCCTGGTTCTGTTTCTCTCCTAGACTAAATTAATCTCATGTAGCCCAGTGTAGCCTTGAACTCAGAGATCCAGATGGATCTTTGCCTCTGCCTCTGAAGTACTAGGATTAAAGGTGTGTGCCACCACTGCCTGGCTTCTATGTTTCTAGTGGCTGTCTCTGTCCTCTGATCTTCAGGCAAATTTATTTGTTAATGAGTAAAACAAAATATCACCACAGGAAAATCAGTGAATTTTATACAGAATCAGTGAGAATTAAGCTGCAATTATTGGTGGCAATAGCAGTAATACCTGCATTTATCATGCAGTTTTTAAATTACATATATGTCAGTTGTCTTCAGTGAACTGTAATGGCAGGGACATATCTCATCGATCTTTGCCATTAAACAATTCTAGGCATGTGTTCTTCCTTTGCTGATTAATGAACATTCTTCACAGAGTGAAAGCTTTTGTGGTTAGGCTTGAGGCTTGGCTCTGTTCTTGATTTGATAATTTTAGTTTCAATGGTTGACTGGCTAAGGTAGTTTATCATTTATAGTCTAACCTAGTCTTTGCTGTGGTAAAAATGGAAGGTCTTTTTGCAAAGAATAATTTCACTTCCTTAATGCAGTTAAGTTTTGGTCAGTAGTAGTGATTATCATAGCACTCTTATTTATCCTAGACTGAAGTACACTTTATTTTGTTACTGTTTACTGAGTCCTGTTTGAAGTAGGTATATTTGTCTTTATTGAGTTTTATATAAATTTCATCCGCTAAAGTGTAATTTTAGAAATTAGTAAACTAGTGACATTTTATTTTGATTACTATACATACATAATTTAATAAAATAATAATAATAATAATAATTATTATTATTATCTTTTTATTTTTTGAGACAGGGTTTCTCTGTGTAGCTTTGGAGCCTTTCCCGGAACTCAATCTGTAGCCCAGGCTGGCCTCGAACTCACAGGGATCTGTCTGCCTCTGCCTCCCGAGTGCTGTGATTAAAGGCTTGCGCCACCACCACCCGACTGATAAAATAGAATTATAATAGTTATCTTAAAATGAGACAATAAAAGTAGTTTAGTAAACTTGGTAGTGATTTATGGTAAAACATAGTACATTGAACTATTAGAAATATTTTTTGTGTCACTTCAGATTTTTAATATTAATGATAAAATATGATTGAAGTATAATTATTAAATAACATGCTATTTAGTGAACAGCTGTTTGTCTTGCTACTTAGTGGTAGCTAATTTCTGAGAAATGTATCCTTAGGAATTTTTGTTCTTGTGTGAACATCATGGAGTATACTTAGGATTAGCTAGATAGTAAAGTTGCCTCCAGTGAACTATAAATTCTGTAATGGTAGAGAATGGTCTCCTCATTATTGGAACTAAAATTATCAAGTCAAGAAACAGAGCCAAGCTAGACCACAAATGACTTCATTCACTAAAGAATGTCCACCAGATGTGCCCCTTCCTTCTGGTTTTGGATCCCCAGTACCATAGAGCCCTGGTAGTTCTGAAAGCCTTATCCTCTTGTCTCCACCTACCAGAAGGCCTTATTACCCTGCCTCTGGACACAAGGTTTGTGCCACTCTGTGCAGCTTTCCTTTTGGTTAAGATGGTGCCACCGTGTTGCCAGGCTGTGTTTGTGTAGTCCTCCCAACTTAGTCTTCCCAACACCAACATGGCTCCCCAAAACACAGTAAACTCTTACTTTGGTAAGTAGAAAAAAATGATCAAAAATATAACATAGTAAAGATAGAAACCACTATTGATATTTGTGTTTATAATCGCTCCATAACTGTCTGGGAGATAGGGGTGGAAGGCAGCGTGCAGAGAGCTATGCTGGTGGGAGGAACCCAATGAATGAAGCATTTGCTCTGTAAAGGAAAGACTTGGACCACCAATGTCACAGACACTCAGAGTGCGTCAGCACGCCCCAAGATATGACCATTTCTCTACAATGACTGCTGAAAGTAGAGACTCTTAGCCTCCTACAATGCTAATCCTGGTGACTGTCTAGTTGTTCAAAGAAGATGATGAGGAGCTACTGAGAGTGATAAGGTCCCGGATAGAGGCTGGACCACGCTTCCACTTGGCAGCCATTGAAAGGCACCTTGCTGGGCCATTGGGAGCCACTGGATGCAAAAAAAAAAAAAAAAAAAAAAAAAAAAAAAAAATGAGATTTGCAATTTTGCATTGATAGCCAGTTAATGTAGGAGGGAAAGGTCCCCTTTGCCACTTCTGAAGCAAACAAATATTGCATGTAGCGACTCGGCAGCTCCATTAGTTGATGCGTATTTCATGTGTCAGAGAGCTGAATCCCAGAGAATGGAGCCAGCCTCCCAGAAAATGGTTTCTTTATATAGTTCCATCCATTTATTGTTTGATTGGACTTTCTGTATATTAAATTCAAGCTGTTCTGCCACTCGTGGGTATTATGATGCGTTGGCTTGGTGGGAAATAATGAAGGTGATGGGATTTTACAGCATCACATTACAAAGGAGGCGTCCCCAGCCTCATCCATCTCTCCATCAACTAGCTTGAGTGTGAGGTGGCACTTATATTAAAACGATTTTTCTGATTTAGTTTAAAAAAAAAAAAAGATAAAAACTAGTGACCTGGTTGTTTATCATTAAGTGCTATTTAGATTATGTGCTTTAGAGTATCATGACTTACAGATCAGTAAGTTTATTTAAATCAGCCTCAGCAAAAATGTGAATAATATGCTACCCTATAACATTATAATCACTGTTGGACCAGGCAGTCTTACAAAACCACTGTTGTATGATGTGGTCTGTTGTTAACTGAAATATCATGTGGTACTTGGTGTATTTTGCCTCTTAGTACACCAAATTGTTATGGGATCACACCAAACAGTGTTTTATATAAACAGAAGAAATGAAGTATTTTGGGACAGGACTATATCCTAAAAAGGTTTAAAAGTATTAAGAAATGCTCTTTGTCCTCCTTGGAACTATTTCTATAGTGCTATGGATTGAACTCGGTCTCATGCATTCTAGGCAAGCACTCTTATCACCAAACCATACTCTTAGCTAGAACATTTCAGTTCTGTCTCACTATGAATATTTCTTCTAGTTTTTATCCTAAATATCACATTGTATGTAAGACCATTTTCCATTAGTTTTAAAAAGTGTGCACTAGTAGATGGAGGAAATCTTCCAAGTTCCTCTGCCTAGATGAAGAGCTACATGGCTGCTGAGAGGGACAATCAGTCTTCTCGGGGACTGGCCCCTGATAGGTTATCCAGCCCCAAGCAGTCAACCCTTAACACATACCAATACATCAGGCTGTATTTTTGTGTGTGCGGGTGTGTGCTTGCATGCTTGTGTGTATAACAATAATTACAGAAGAGCTCATGAATTGGAGAAGGGGTTGGGGAAAATAGGATGAGCTGAAGGGAAGAGAGGGAAGAGTGGAAATGATATAAATACAGTACTCACCTATGAGATTCTCAGGAGTTTTTTTTAGTTATAAAGGTGTGCTCTATTGTGGAGACTAGTCTTCAGGGCTTCATGATAGGGACCTTAATGTTATTTCCTCCTTACTTGTTGCCTAGAGACAATAAGTTGTTTCTGTTGTGCTTGTTATTTACTATATTGAAATCTTTTCTCTTTGAAAGTCCTACCTCTGATAGATTCCTCATTGCATGAATACAATTTTGAAAAAAATATTCTAATAGCCATGATTTTCTGTTATTATTATTGGGTCAAATTTTCTTACCTGTTATAGATACTTGAAGTAATTGGGATGCTTGGATAAATTTACTGTAATAATAAATATAACATGTACAGCAGACCCAGCCAAGTGTTTCACTTATTTGAAATGTCTTTTTGGTAGTCTTTACTTGAAGACACTTCCTTTTATTAAAGTACCTATTAACACAAAGATTTAAAATATTTTATCAAGTAAAATATTACCTTTCCTTATTACTTTTCCTCCTAGGCGACCTCCGAGCATGCACATACTGTAGAAAAATAGCCTTAAGTTATGCTCATTCTACAGACAGTAATTCCATTGGGGAAGACTTGAATGCTCTTTCAGATTCAACTTGCTCTGTGTCTATACTCGATCCAAGTGAACCTCGGACACCTGTTGGGAGTAGAAAAGCCAGTCGTAACATATTTTTAGAGGATGATTTAGCCTGGCAAAGGTACTGTCACTTGAATATAATTTGATTTAAACTTGAGAAAAGCTTAGTCCTTTGTATTTCTCATTAACATTTATTTCTTTTTGTTATCTGCAAATTTGCTATTTTTTCCAGTTCAGGTACAGAAAGATCATAGATGTTTACTTATGGATAGTGATTATATTAACATTCAAATATAAGTGCACGAGAGGAGAATTTTTATACCTGGTCATATTTACTGTTTTACTATTAAAACCAAGAACAGAACGCATGACATGTGCATGATCTTTGCAATATTTGTTGATTAGGCAACATAAGTCATTGATACTAATAATTCCTAATGTAGTCTTCTTAGAGAAAGGAGAGCACTCCTAAGATCTGAATTTGTTTTCAAATTCAGCTAGTTTTTTTTTTCCTCTTCTGAAGGAATATTTGCCATGTTTATATCTGAAGATGCTTTGTTGGCTGATTGTAGATAAACAAACTTCCTCAGAAGTTACCTAGAATTATTCACACTGGAATCCAAGGTTCATCACTTACTTTCTTTAGGAGAATAATCTTTTTACACATGAGTCCCAGTTTTTCCATGTCAACGAGCTTAGAGTTTTAACTAACTTTTTTCTTTTTTTGTTTTGTTCTGGTTTTTGAGACTAAGACAGGGTTTCTCTGTAGCCCTGGCTGTCCTGTAACTCCCTCTCTAGACTAGGCTGGCCTCCAACTCAGAGATCCACACCTGCCTCTGTCTCCCAAGTGCTGGGATTAAAGGCGTGTGCCACCACACCCAGTTTAACTAACATTGTTCTGATGAGTAATTTTCTTAGTTACTTCTTAACAAAGAGAAGAATTAGTCTATTGCATATTTAAAAAGAAATGAATTACAACTACATTCAGCATATGTGAGCCCAGGGACATAGTAGAAAAGAAAGTCACAAATCATATAAGCACTAACATTCTAATTATATATTGTTCAGAAATACATAAATGAAGATAAGTGTCCAGGATACAAATGCTGTAATTATTAGTTACTTGTCTCATGACTGTAACAAAATCCCTAACAGAAGCAACTTCTAGAAGAAAGGGCTTATTTTGGCTTACAGTTTCAGGGAATACAGTCCACCACGGCAGAGGAGGTATGGCAGCAAGAGGGGAAGGTGGCTAGTCACCTCGTGTCCACAGTCAAGAGACAGCTGTGAATGCCTGTGCTCAGTTCCATTTCCCGTTATTCAGAATGGGACCCCAGTGTAGTGGGTCTTTCCACCTCAATTAACCGAGTCTAGATAATCCTTCACAGACATGTCTGGGGAGCATTTCAGTGGTGACAGTTAAGACTAATCATAACAGTGATAATCATATAATTTTTAATAATGGTTTCACTAGGATTAGGGAAAGGTGGGTACTGGGTAGGGGAACACAGACTCTTCAAAATAGCGGTAATTGAGTCTTCTCTGTAAGTTGTTTGATGGGTCATACTATATCTTAATATACATTTTATAAACTTAATTGATTATATTTATTAAAACAATAAAAAAGCTATGTATTCTTTATATTATTTATGGTTAGCAATACTTATTATTTGTGTGTGGTCCAGTTATGTGATCTCAGAATTGGCAAGTATGATTTTGTAACACATCGTGAGAGACAGAAGTTGGACCTCAGAAATGGAGTACTACTTGAGTTTTCGGCTCTGTGTTAACAATTTCGTGCTCCATTCTCCTTTTGTCATCACATCATAGGAAAGACTTTCTTTTTTTGACGGATGTGGGTGCTGAAGTTCCGAAAGGTTGAGTAGTGAATCTGAGCCCACACACCTAGTTAAGATGGGCCCTGTACTTGGACCTTGGCTCGTCTGACTCTTTGCTGCTCTTCTTAGGAGTTGTGGGGACTGAGAATAGAATTTTGGAACACAGATTTTTTTACACAAATCACTTTCATCTTCTACGTGTGGTGTGTAAATGAGTTTTATAAATCCCCTGTTCAACCAGATTTGGGGTTTTATTGACATTCAGTACATTTAAAACATTATCAATTTTTGATACTAGAGGTGAAACTGTGTACTTTTGTTTGTTTGTTTTTTGAGACAGGACTTCTCTGTGTAGCCCTGGCTTTCCTGGAACTCGCTCTGTAGACCAGAACGGCCTCCTCTGCATCCTGAGTGCTGGGTTAATGGTGTGTGCCACCACTGTCCAGCAAAACTGCACTTTTTTTTTTTTCCTCAAATAAAGTAAGGACAAAAATGAACTGTATATAATCTCATTGTTGTAGGGAAAAATACTTAATTTGCTTTAAAATTTTGAAGCACCTGATTGCAGCCCCAAATGATCCCAGTATTTTCATTTTCTTTATAGTTTGATTCATCCAGACTCCTCAAATAGTGCTCTTTCAACGAGACTTGTATCTGTTCAAGAGGATGCAGGGAAGTCTCCTGCTCGAAACAGGTAAATCACCAATAAAAGCTACTCTGGTTTCTGTTTCTGTCCCTAGTAATGAGAACAAATGTAAAGATGGCATCAGAGCTCTGTTAGGCAACCCTTTCTTTGCTTGGTAGTTCCTCTTTCAGCTATTCTCTGGTGAGTTCAGATAGTGGAACCTGTTTTCTGTCTTCTCGTTTACTGTGATGGCCTGAAGGATGAGAAAGTGAGACATGTAGACCTTCAGTGCAAGGGTGCACCACGAAAGCGGAGTGACAGATGCTCAAGAGGGAGCAGAGCTGGTAGGAGTGTAGGAGGCTGTGTGCTGCAGTAGAGTGTGTTAGGACGAATGATTGGCCAGGGCCTTTTGATCTAGTCTCAGATGAGGGGCTGTGGGAATTAAAACAATTTTTAATTGCTTTGTAAAATTTGAAAATTGTAAAAGACTTTCAAGAATAGGGAAACAAATGTCCATAAGACATTAAAATGTCCATTAAGACATACTTACATTTTATTTATTTTGATACATTTTATATAATACATACTTTTAAAGAAACCAAGAGTAATTGCTGGGAGTCATGTGACTTTTTTGGGGGATAAGGCCTGAGAATAGCATGGACAAATTCTCTTTGTGGCAAGGCCCTGGAGAATCTGATCCATATTGGCAAGACTGATGGATAGTTCGCTGCATAATTCTGAGCATGACCCCAGGAACATATGTGCTACCTGCTCTCCTTGCTTTCTTTATACAAATCATATTGATGGCTGTTTCTAGTTTCACTTTCTCAGAGCTATGGATAAAATAGCTATTACAAAAGGAAAACTTCCCCCTGATGACTCTTCTCTGGGTGAGCCAGAGGCGATGTTGTTAAAAATAAATAGAGGGTTTGATTCAGCCTGTAAAGCCTTTGATGTTTCAAGTATGACCCTAATTCAGGCTTTTTAGAACAGGATGTTGCCTTTCCAATGCACCCTGTTGTAGTTGGAAGGTTTCTCTGGTCCCTCCCGGCCCTGCAGTCCTACAGCCCTGCAGCTGCTTATAAAATATTCACTCAGAGGCTTAATATTATTTACAAACTGTATGAGCTATGGCAGGCCTTTTGCTAGCCAGCTCTTCTATCTTAAATGAATCCATTTCTATTAATCTATGTTTTGTCATGTGTTCTGTGGCTTCCTGGTCTGCTGGCATGTTGTTCCTTGGCAGCAGGCTGGCATCTCTCTTGCCTCTCTTTTCTTCTTCCTGTCTCTCTCTTGGATTTCCTGCCTGGCTACAACCTGATTCGCCATAGGTTAGAGCAGCTTCTTTTTGTTTTTGTTTTTGTTTTTCGAGACAGGGTTTCTCTGTGTAGCTTTGCGCCTTTCCTGGAACTCACTTGGTAGCCCAGGCTGGCCTCGAACTCACAGAGATCCGCCTGGCTCTGCCTCCTGAGTGCTGGAATTAAAGGCGTGTGCCACCACCACCCGGCGAGAGCAGCTTCTTTATTAACCAATCATAGCAACGCATATTCACAGCATACATAAAGACATCCCTCAGCACCCTGTGACTAGCCTGAAAGAGTTAAAGTAGTTTAAGATAGTGTTACAAATTTGCATAACTGTTCTGGAGAGAATGATTTTAATAGAAGAGTCTAGGAGAAATGCTAATAAATAGATACTATCAGGAATTAATGGGAACAGTCTAGGAGCAGGGAGTGAAGCAGTATCATAGAAATCCAGTGCCCTCACTTCTAATAGCTGTGCCAGTACTGTAGGGAATTGACAGGAAAAGAAGATGAGAAAAGGAGATAAGCAGTGCCAACTACTAAGGGTAAGCTTTTAAGTTGCACGGTTTACAGGATAATAGGAGAACACCTGGTATATCCCCCATAGGGGATAGAGTAGCACAGAATGAAGAATGAATTGATTCAGCCTTGACTGATCAGTTCATTGTGAGAACGTAGATTTAAATATTAACCGCTAGAGGCAAAGCTCTCTTTCACTCTGCATGACACTGTAGCCGCAAAAGCTTCCAACTGGGCACATTGTTTACCTGTAGGTGTGCCTAATTAGAAAACTTCCTTTGGTGCTTGCAACGTTGCTTATGTTTCTCACATTAGGGCTATGAATCAAGTAGTTTTGAAACAGGTGGTCCTGGTTTGCTTCACTGTGCTGACTTCACACATCCACCCCAGGTCACTGAACCCGTCTGGAATTAGACTTCCAGGAGGTAGTCCATCATTTTCTAATTTTTCAGTTAATAGGTTTGAAAAATGTTTTCTATGTTTGAGACAGGATCTTGCTGGCCTCAGACTCACTGTGTAGCCCAGGCTGGTTCCTAATCACAGTCCTAGGTCAGCTCTCTGAGTGCTGGGATTGTAGGCATGAACTGCTTATACCCAGCTGAGAATTCTTTTTTGTTTTTTTAATAGCAGTTCTAGCTTCATAGCAAAATTGAGCAGAAACTTGGAATCATACATCATGTATATATACAAATAATGATTTCTTTCAGTTAGTAATGTGTACTTATATAGTCGAAAGTTTTTTCCTGTCCCGCCTAGCCCCACAGTCCCGCTACGCTGCTTATAAAATATTCATTCAGAGGCTCAATATTATTTACAAACTGTATGGCCTGTGGCAGGCCTCTTGCTAGCTAGCTCTTACATCTTAAATTAACCTATTCCTATTAATCTGTGTTTTGCCATGTGTTCCGTGGCTTTACCAGTCTGCTGGCATGTTGCTCCTTGGGCGGCAGGTTGGCATCTCTCCAGACTCTGCCTTTCTCTTTCCTGTCTCTCTCCTTGAATTTCCTGCCTGCCTCTGAGCTGCCTTGCCATAGGCCAAAGCAGCTTATTTATTAACTAGTGGGAACAATTTATATTCACAGTATACAGGAAGACATCCCCCAGCACACATATAAGTTTCCTCAATAACTTTTTATGGCTTACTACATAGTTTTCTTTGTTGCTAAGCAATATTACAGTTTCTAGCTAGATGTGCTGTAGTTTATATGACTATACCTTCTGAAAGATATATTGGTGGATTCCATGTTTTGGCAGTTATATAGAAGGCTGTGAACATCTGTGTGCAATATTTATTCATTCATTCATTCATTCATTTATCTATTTATTTATTTATTTATTTATGAAATGAGCCTCATTATGTTTCTCTGTCTATCCTGGGACTTACAGATTTCCACCTGTTCATGCATACTGAGCGCTGAGATTAAAGTTGTACACCACCGTACTCAGCTCTATGTAGTTTTAAGTTGATTTGGGTAAATACCAAGAAGCATGATTGTGGGATCATATAGAAAGAAGATGATTAATTTTGTAAGGGATCACCAAATTGTCTTCCAAAACTGGTACTGCCATTTTGCATTTCCCCAGACAGTGCACGAGAGTTCCTCTTGTTCCACACCATTTTCAGCATTGATGTTGCCAGTGTTTTGTAATAGGTGTGTAGTGGTGTCTCATTGTTTAAAGTTGCCATTTCCTGATATGAATTGAACATCTTTTCATTTGCTTACTTACCATGCATGTATCTTCTTTGTAGAGGAGTCCATTTCATGATCACATTGGTCATTTCTTTCACTGTTGAGTTTATATGTATAGAATTTTATATATATATAAAGAAGTTTATATATATATATATATAATTAATATTATATATATTTTGAATCAGAATTCTTTATTAGTTAGGTGGTGGTGGTGGTGCATGCTTTTAATACCAGTACCAGGCAGAGGCAGGCAGGTTTCTGTGAGTTCCAGGCCAGCCTGGTCTACAGAGTGAGTTCTAGGACAGCCAGACATAGAGAAACCCTGTCTCAAAAAACAAAAACAAACAAACTCTTTATAAAATGTGTCATTTGCAAATATTCTTTCATGGTGGCTTCTCTTTTCATTTTTTTGACGCTGTTACGGAGCATAGGTACTTAATTTTAACTCTAGTGTGCCTTTGGTGTTATATCTAAGTAGCCATCACTGTATCCCAGGCCTACTAGCTTTGTTCCTGTATTATCTTCTATATGTTTTGTAGTCTTGCATTTTACATTTCGGTTTGTGATCCATTTTATTTATTTATTCATTCATTCATTCATTTATTCATTTATTTATTTATTTATTTATTTTTTAAATTTATTTATTATTATGTATACAGCATGTATGCCTGAAGGCCAGAAGAGGGCACCAGATCTCACTACAGATGGTTGTGAGCCACCATGTGGTTGCTAGGAATTGAACTCAGGACCTCTGGAAAAGCAGTCAGTGCTCTTAACCTCTGAGCCATGTCTCCAGCCCTCATTTATTTATTTGTGACTGGCATAATGTTGTTTATATTTCTTTTTGTATGTGTTTATCCATATGATCAGTATCTTCTATTGAAAAAAATCATCTTTGCTTTTTTTTTTTGCCTTTGTTCCTTTGTGAGAGGTCATTTGACTATATATATTTTGAGGGTCTGTTCTTGAACTCTGTTGTGTTTTATTGATGTGTTTGTCTTTTTGTTTACCAGTGTCTTACGATCTTGATGAATGTAGTTTTATAGTAAGAGGCCTTGAGCTCAGGTAGTGTCAGTTCTCCACTTTTTGTTTTCTTTAATATAACAGTGTATTCACTGCTATTTTTTTTTAAATTGTTTTGCTGTCCTTTACAATCTTTAGAGTTAGCATCTGCAATATAACTTGCTTTGCTCTTGATCAAGATTGCACAGACTCTGGATGTGTTTTAAAGAACTCTCTCTTTTTTTTGTTTTCTTTTCTTTTCTTTTCTTTTTTTTTTTTTTTTTTTTTTTTTTTTTTTTTTTTTTTTTATAAATTTATTTATTATGTACATAGTGTTCTGCCTACATGCATGCCAGAAGAGGGCGCCAGATCTCATTACAGATGGTTGTGAGCCACCATGTGGTTGCTGGGAATTGAACTCAGGACCTCTGGAAGAGCAGCCAGTGCTCTTAACCTCTGAGCCATCTCTCCAGCCCAAGAACTCTCTTTTTAAAAAGATGAATAAAAAGATTTATTCATTATAGGTTTTATTTTGAATTAACTTTTGGTTGTTGCACATTCAGAAATCTTTCATGTTTGCCAGATTTTTCAGGACCCCAACATTCAGTTACATGATCCTATATGAGATCATGATATAATTAAAGAAGATGGGAGCTAGTCTAGATTCATTCATTACTTTTAATTGTCATTTCTTTTGGTCTGCTTTACTATGTAATAATTCCTTTATTTTCCTGATACTAGATTTGTAAAGAGAAAGCCAATTGTTTAGTAGAATGTTCATTGACCTGTACTTGCCAAATGCTTCTTGGGTTGGATTTAGGGTGTAATTTTTATCCTTCCTCCCTTCCTCCCTCTCTCCTTCCCTCCCTTTCTCCCTTCCTTCATTCCTTGATAGGAATCCTATAAAGCTTTGTGTCCTTTCATTCTGTCCTACTAGAATGAATGGATATGGTTTCATTTATCTCATTGGTTGCAGTGACTTATGTTTTTGCTAAGATTCTGTCTTTAGTTACTGGTTTTCCTTTGTCATTTAGAAGAGATCCGTGGGGATACCTTGAGGTTGTATCGTTTCAGTCAGTAGTTTTAGCTTTCTGACTATTGCTCTAAGGTTATAAAATGGTGGTATTTTTTTCCTAATTCAATCACTCTTTCTATAATTATTAGGTGACATTTTACTCTATAAAATTTTTCTCTTGTTAGTGTTCTGATGTATTATGTTTTAAAAGGAGTCTGGCCTCTCTAGTGAGTCCATTGGGGGGCATAAGAGTAGAAGCTGGTACAGTATCAGCGGTCCAAGCTGGAGAAGTGGGGCGAGGGGACATGAGCAGTGAGAGAAGGACAAACTCTAGGTGTGTTTTGTGGTCTGTATAATAGGAGTTTTTAGTCAGTAGAATGTAGTAGGCTAAACCAGAAAGGACATCAAAGATGACTAAAGTTTTTTTACCTGAGCAGTTTAAGTGTAGTATTGCCATTTATTGAAATTCAGTGGAGGGTGGGAGCATGTTAACAGTTTGATTTTAGACCTGTTTAATTTTATATGCCATCTAGATATAGCCATCCAAAGAGATGTCAAATAGACAGAAGGGTTTAGAGGAGAAGTGCTGGCTAGAGATAGAAATCTTAGTGTTGTCATCGTGTGAATGGTTTAAAGCAATGACATAGCTCATCAGGACAGCGAGAGGAGGGGAAATGGAACCAAGTCCTGAGATTGTTGAAGTGAAGAGGAACTGGAAGAGAGACTGAGATGGAGAGGCTAGTGAGGTGAGAGACAAGCCAGCAAGTGAAAAAAAGGTGTTGAGCAAGGGAGAAGCTACCGCAGGTGTGTTAGGTAGGATGTGTTAAAGTTGAGCATCAGACTGAGAACAACCCTGGGGACCAGAATAGACCATCACAGTGGGTTGTTTGTCATCAGAGAGAGAAAAGGAAGAACTGGGGATGGGAAACGCAGCTGAGGGATGTAGAGTGGAGGCAGGTTTTAAAGGTAAGATATGTTGCTATCCTCGTCAGCAGTGCAGTCACAGCATTGCTGGTCTGTGTGTCTCCCTGGGCTCTGGGTGGATGCGAACATTGATGAAGGTCTTCAGGACAGGTAGAGTTGAGTCTGTATATGCTGTCACAATAAAGTTAGTCAGCATCTTTGCCACAGCATATTTACTAGTGCTTTTGACAGCAAAAACAACTAAGTTTCTTTTGTTCTTGATGCCACTATATTAGAGTGCATTCAGGAATTATTGCAACGTTAGAGAATCAGGCAGCATGATGAATGCACACACTGAGGAGTAGACTTAAATAACTGAATAAGATATAGTGACAGTTTTCCTGAAAGAAAATGTCAAGAAGTGAGTAATTGATAATTATTAACTGACTCGCTGCTAAATCTGTGAATGATTTCTTATTTTAAAATATTTTTGTGTTTATACTGCACAGAGGATGAATTTTCTTTTGAGACCTATGATTTGAATGTCACCTCTTAGTATTAGTGGACTTTAGATAAGTTTCTTTATACCTCATTCTTGAATTAAAGATTGCTTTACATTTAGCTGGGCAGTGGTGGTGCATACCTTTAATTCTAGCACTGGGGAGGCAGATCTGAGTTTGAGACCAGTCTGATTTACAAAGCAAGTTCCAGGACAGCTAGGGCAAACAGAGAAACTCTGTCTTGAAAAACTCAAACAACCTCCCCCCACCCCAAATGTTACCATGTATATATTTATTATTTTGTGTGTGTGTGTGTGTGCGTGCGCACGCGCGCGCACCAGTTTGTGCACCTGCCACAGGATGCACAGAGATTCTCATTCTACCCGGCGGCCAGGTTCCACCGCTTGAATTTGGGTCATCAGGTTTGGTGGCAAAAACCCTTACCTACTGATCCATCCCGCTAGCTCCTGGTTCTTGAATTTTTTTCTTCCTAACCTGTAAAATGAAGCTAGTAGTACCCACTTCAAAAATGTGTGAGGGATAAGTGAGGAAATGTCTAGATTACCCCAGAAATGAGTTATGTAGTGTCAAGTCAAGTTTCTTTTCATCCTTTCTGTGGAAGCTGAAGTTAGAGTTCATTTTCTTTCTTGTAGATGATAACTAAACTTTGAATTAAATTAAAAATAAATAAAAGCTTGGTGTTATTGATAGTCTACTTATAAGTCATATGATGGCCGGGCGGTGGTGGCGCACGCCTTTAATCCCAGCACTCGGGAGGCAGAGCCAGGCGGATCTCTGTGAGTTCGAGGCCAGCCTGGGCTACCAAGTGAGTTCCAGGAAAGGCGCAAAGCTACACAGAGAAACCCTGTCTCGAAAAACCAAAAAAAAAAAAAAAAAAAAAAAAAAAAAAAGTCATATGATAACTGCACAGAGGCAAAGTTAAAGATATATATGAGAATACTTACATAACAAGAGGAAACACATTTCCTATTACTTTTTTTCTGAAGAAATAGCTGTATAAATCTATGTATTTTGGTTTTCAGGACAAGATTTCTCTGAGAAGCCCTTGCTGTCATGGAACACACTTTGTAGACCAGGCTGACCTTGAAGTCAGAGATCCTCCTGCTTCTGCCTCCCAAGTGCTGGGGTTAAAGGCATGCACCACCATTACTTGGCTCATATAATACTAATTGAACACAGTATTTTAAATACAGGCCTACTAATGAGAAGTAAAATAATTCTTTCTTGAGACATACCATTCAAGTTCATGATTAGTGTTCCTATCATCAGATTCATTGCAGGATGTTCAACTATAAAACCGATTCTTCTAATTCCTGGGCTAGATAAAAGCAGGGGTGGGCTGGATTTGGCATGCAGGCCATAGTTATTTTAACCCAGATATGCAAAGTTATTGTGTATAGTTGTTATTTCTTATTTTTCTTAGTTAGAAAAATGAATTTGTAGTATTTTTTATAAGCAGAGTTTGTATGTGTTTCCTTTGAAATACTAATATGCAAGATGTATAATTGTTTTTCTATAGTATTTAAAAACCGTTCAAAATGTTTTATTCAAACAGTAGTTTTTGGTGTCCTTTCCTACTTTTCTTCAGTGATAGTCTGCATAGCTGTTGTAACTACTTTTATTGTGTCTCTAGGAACAGCACCTAAACATGTAAGTATGAACTACACTTAACTCTGTTTGCAGGTGAACTTAAAATTGTGACTTCACTTTTTGTTTTATTTCTAGATCAGCCAGCATTACTAATCTGTCACTGGATCGATCTGGTTCTCCTATGGTTCCTTCATATGAGACATCTGTCAGTCCCCAGGCTAACCGAACCTATGTTAGGACGGAGACGGCTGAGGATGAACGTAAAATTCTTCTGGTACTAGTCCAGTATCTAACCTGTTGTTTGCTAGTTTTGAGCATAAAGACTGATGACTTTTTATCTCTTAAAGAAACACATACAGTCAGCTGGGCTTGGAATGCATGCCTGTAAACCTGTATTGGGAAGGCAAGGCAGGAGGATCTTGAATTTGAGGCAAACTTGAGCTAAGTGGGATGTTCTTTTTTAAAAAAAAAAAAAAGGTATGTAGCTAGAGTTTTCCTGCCTTGCCCACAGTCAGGACAAATCTTTGTCACCTGCCAATCCCACAGCCGCTCAGACCCAACCAAGTAAACTTGCCACATGGCTCGTGGCTTACCGGCATCTTCACATGCTGCTTGTCCTGGCGGTGGCTGGCAGTGACTCTTTCTGCCTTCCTGTTCTTTCTTTTCTCCTCTCTGTTAGTCCCGCCTATACTTCCTGCCTAGCCTCTGGCCAATCAGTGTTCTGACATCTGCCTCTTTTTAATTTTGAATAGTAGGATATTTAGAATGGTTCTGATTTGAGGTGTTGTAGATAAATCTAGCATGTGTGTAATACTCTGCCACCAAGAACAGGGATCCAAGCTATGTCCAGTACTATTGGTTACATTATTATATTGATCAGAAAAATCTAGAGAATAGCTTGAAAAGAGACCCATATAATTAGTAGTTCTGGGTCTTTGTAGAACATAAGTTCTTATTTGCCCTTTAATAGGAATGCAAATATTATGATGTCCTATGCAAATAGGAAGTGATTTAAATCCCAAAGAAAAGTTAAATGCAATCATGTCTTCAGTTGAATGAAGGAGTCTATGATGGTCCCAAGGTCCAAGAATAAGCATGGAGTCATTAGTAAAGATAACAGGAGCTGAATCTATCTAATCCCTCTGGATCCATCAACTTCATCTATGAGTTGTGGCAAAGGAGGATGAGGAACGTAATGTGTTCAGAGACACTCACTGCAGATGCACACAGGTCAAAGCAGAAACCTTCACCAGAAGGAGACTGTCAAGTGACATAGGGCTCTGTGTTCTTCTCCCATGATGCTTAGGGCTTTAATTTGGACCCACATGGGCAGACTTGACCTCTGATATGGTCGAGATCTTCTTTTGCCTGTTAGCTGCAAGTCTGCTGTATCTTTCTGGTGACTTCCACTGGCTCCTTGCCTTCCACTGGCATCCTTGATGACCCGGTAGAGGAACTGGAGAGGAATCCATGAAGTTTCAGTGTATCCGTCTGCAATGACAGATGTATACCCCTTCCCAGTTTTCTTCTTGAGAAGTAGAAATAGGGCAGGTTAATGCATCAGCTGCCCATTTCCTTCTGCAGCAAGAGCATGGAGGTTAGAATGTGCGTATGAGAAATGAACAATGAATGTATATAGGTATTAACCAGAAGTTGAAGTTCTTATTGAAATGGAAGCATAACAGAATGTGAACACAAAGTTAAAGCAGTTTCTTTTTTCTTTTTCTTTTTTTTTTTTGGTTTTTCGAGACAGGGTTTCTCTGTGTAGCTTTGCGCCTTTCCTGGAACTCACTTTG